AAAATCAAAGCTCTGGTCTCCTTATTATAACTTGCATTTCCTTATCCTTTCGGCTCTCAAGCGTTTATATGATCAGAAAGTTGTAGATTCAGCAATCACAAGAGCAAGATTTTACATTTCTAGGTTTTAGGTGGTCAATTAACGAAATTTTAGGAAACAATCACGATCCTTATCATATTGACATCATGTAAAACAATATAAAAAATGTAAGCATGCACTAATGCAAAAAGAAATGAGAATTATCTCAGAATTTAAAAAATTGAGGCCTCCCCGGTGGCGCAGCAGTTGAGCGCTGGGTTGCCAAGCTGCCCGCAGCCTCTGCAGCACCGGTTCGATCCCTGGCTGCTCCCAGGCCACCGGAGGAGGGTCCCACATGGCGCGCAGACCTCTCCTGCCGCCCGCTGCTCCCCTCAGCAGTGTACTTTGCTCCTTCTGCCTGCTCTGCTCCCTGCTCTGGTGAATTCTCTCACCCTCCCGCGCTTCTGACTGTACCCAGTGCTTGTATAAATAAAATCTTTTAAAAAAAAAACTTAAAAATTGAGTAAATTTGGTGTTAGAAATGTTTTTCCATTCCATTTTTTTTAAATATATAATACATACATCCATTCAATTTAGATCTAGTTTGGTATTTGGGAACTCTTTGTCATTCAACCCTCTCATCCAAGATCTAAGTGTGGTTACCTTTTGTCAGGTGCTTGGGGATCTAAGAGTCAGTCTGAGAGGCTTTTACCAAATAGTTGTTTGATGCCACGAATAATGAAGCCTAACAATATCTAACCCAATTCAGGGGGAAGAGCAAATTTCCAATTAGAACTGCCTTTTACACTCAGAACCACAAGTCAGAAGGAGTTATCCAGAGAAATAATAGTGGGAAGAAAAATTATTTCCAGTGAGGAAAGTTAACATCCAGAGATGACAAATGATTTTCCCAAAGTCATGCAGTACAAAGTGGCAGAACAAAAATGACAAGGTTTGAATTCTTGTTTCCTCTGCAACAAGAAAAATTGAACCATCTATTGGCAGACGTTGCTTCTTCACGGCTTTTTTTTAGGAGAGGATCCTAAATGTTGATTTATTGCCTTCCCTGTCTCCCTTCCCCTAAAATGATTACATGAAGTCTTGACAGGTAGTAGCTAGCATCCATTACAGAAGACTAATAGCTCAAATCTTATCTTCACTTGAATTCAGTTGAGTGCGAGTGATTACCACCTTAATCAATTTTGGGTTTGGTTCGTTCCTTTAAAAAGTAACAGTTTAATTAACAAATCATTGCTCTTCCTTGGGTTTGGGTTGGGATGAGTTGGGGCAGGAGCCAGGGTGATCCAAAAACAAACCACACATATTGCTGATTCTGGAAGCTTTGTTCTTTAATGAGCCATGGAGTGATTTGTTCATCAAGCTGCTTTTGTGTAGCCATATTGAGTGACACAAACTGCACTTTATACAGATGATGTCTTGCTCCCCCCTCCAAAAACAAAACAAAAACAAACAAACAAACAAACAAACAAAAAACCCATAAAGAAATGACAAAGTGCCTGTTGATTGCATTAGGAATGTAATCAGTTCCGTGGGTGAAATAAGTCATTCTTCTTATAGAATTATTCTGTTTAACAGTAAAATGATATTCTATTTCACAGGATATGTCCTTTTACAATACATAGTCTTTTACAAATTTACACTCAGTATACTTATAAATTACTTTAAATCCATTAAAATAATATAATACTATTCTGTAGTCCACACCTTTCCCCCAGTAAATACAATTACTTGGTTCAAAAGGTGCAAATTTTATATGACCTAAGAGGGGTGGTAAATAGATATTAAGTATGGGTGGATAACAAGGCGATAGACCCCCTGATGGGGCCTTTTTTTTTTTTTTTAAAGTTTCAGCCACAAAACCAAAAGACCTAACAGATCCATCTCCACAATCATTTTGCTGTTACCCTTTAACACCAAATCAAATATAGGAGTGGTTCCAGAGAAAAGTGGTTAAAAGTATTTTAGGGGCATAGAAAGACAAAGAACTCCCACACATACCAAGAGATTATACTACCAAGTCTGTCACGGTGTTGGGGGACAGTGCTGGGAAGTCTTCACAAAACTTTCAGTATTGACACATTTGTCAATACTGAAGATGGATGCCCCATGTCCAGCTCCCCACCAAAGGGGGAACAAAAAGAGGAGGAGGAAGAGGACGCCTTCTGGACTGTGCTTCTTTTTTTAAATTAAAATTCTCTGAGCTTTGAACACATCCTGAGAATACGTTCTTCTAATTCACCAAAGTGCTTGTGAAACATTCATTAAGTTATAGTCAAAACAAAAACATGGTCTACAGGCACTGAAGTAGGCCTGCAGAACCTTGCTGGACTTCCTTTTTTTAGCATCCTTCTGGGACCTTCTGCCTTTGACTAAAACCCTATCGTGACTGAAAAGAGAACAGAAATCTTCACTAACTGCCAAAGCATGAGGAGAGGTTCTCATGTTCCACTTGGACCTCAGGTCCTTGTCTCTGCAAGACTAAGTATATACTAAGAAGGCAGTATCTCTGTTTTCTGAAGCAAACAATGGCAAAAATAACTATAATGGCAGGGAATACAAAGTGCATTACAAACTAAGCATGTCACCTCCCTGAATCCTTCCTATATTTACTATTAATTTGTCTCACCTTGCGATATACAATGTGACCCTAAAACAAATACTTCTCTGCTTTCAATTACATTTGCCATATTACTTATGCAATTAAAGGGCTTTAAAGGGAAAAACAGAAAATTCAGGCTTTGTTGGGGCTGGGAATGTTTGATATGAATAGAATAGTCTGCATTTTGGAGTACTGGCCGCAAATGTGGGGCTGCCTCAAAGCTGCCATCTAGAGATTTTCTCTGGGGCACGTGAGATCAAAGGAAACAAGCATTAGAGAAGCAAGAGGAATGCCAATTTGACACATCTTTACCATCAGTGATTGTAATGCAGCATCACTTTGTGGTTATATAACTTTAACCACAGAGAAGATCAGATCAGACAGAAGGGAGATACAGCACTTGGTTTAACAGTTTTTAAGAATTATGGCTTCATCTCTTTATCAGGTCAACAGTGCCAGTTTTCCTATGGAACAACAATTTACTTTCCTTCAAAGGGAGGGCTCCACCCTTGCTCTACATTCTTATAATTATGTGGATCTCTTCTCCCCACCAACCTCCTTCTGGCATCTTGTTAGATGACTAGAAATCCACAAATCTGGCAACTGAAAAACAAGTATTTTATTTCATTTTATCCAAATTCAGGTTTCAGGTCCCTGAGAAAACTTATAGTCTCTTAACATCCATTACCTAGTTCCTATAAAGTGACCTATATGAGTAGTTTTTAACTGCCAAGAACTTACTTTTTTGAGGAAAAAAAAAACAAAAACCCAAAACCCAAAACCCCACAAAGTTTTACAAAGGGGAACATATGCCAAGGTGTGTTCTCCTGGCCATTCCTCTAGGCAAAAGGAGACTGATCAACAAGAATAATCACATTTTTGGTATGATATTTAACCAACATTCTAGAGCAAGTGGACAGCAGCAGTCAATGCCAACAGAACACCATTCTCCCAAGCAGATGGAAACACACTGTGAAGTCCGGCACGTGGTCCTGAGGCACCAGCAATTCACTGTGACACAACCATCTGAGGAACTGGATTTTTTTCTCTAAAAGATTAGCTGCAATTCAGATTTTTAAGGGCTTTATATTGGCTACTTCTCAGGGCAGTGTGAACAAGGTGGCAGAATGTTTGGGGGACATAAAATCCTACATTTACCCATTAACCATCATCATTCTGGAGATTCTGAAAGATCCCTTCCCTACACCTATCTGGAGAGGTTAAGATTTCTGCTACCATTAGCTGCCACTCAAATGATGCTCCAACTCTGACCTTTGGGGCTGGACAATAACCACTGTAGAGTGGTATGAGGTTCAGTGTTGTGTAACAGGTGAGACTCTGCCTTAACAAAAGTCTTAATATCTCCATAACTTCAAAGAAGATGAAGGAGAAATAACCAAAATTCAGGTTACAAATGGTAAAGGCTCTTTTTTAGAACAGTGCATGTGGTAGTTACACAAATGCATTATTAGTAACTTTAAAAATAAACATCTTCACACACTACTCTAAAGAAAGGTTATTATGGTTCATTTTCTATATATTATAAATAGCAAAAACAGACTTCTAATCTCACAAATGCTAAAAACTTAAAATGCTATTATAACTCAGGTGTATGGAGACACCCAAAGGTGAAAAAGATGGTTTGTCTTTTCCCTCAACCCAGGAAATGAGTGGCTCTCACTCCCCTGTCCAATGGCCCCTAATCTATGGGGAAAAATTCTATAGGGAGGAGGGAAGCATAAAGTTAAAAAGAAATATGCAAACTATACATATATATTTACAGTAAACTTCAGTAACCAGAGTATTAACAAAAATAGCTTCAAGTAGTTCTTGATTTTTTTCATCTAATACTGATGGTCTGAGGAAAGGAAGATAAAAATTAGACTGGTTATATTAAAAACTTCTCTCATTTTTGGCAGCTGTCTGTAACACTTATTCATGCAGTGTTGCGTGTGAATGATTTAGAAGTAATTAAATGGTCACATTATTTGTTTGCGTTTGTGGTAAAAATCAACCAGCAGATGAACAGGTTCGTATGTGATCTTCAGCTTAATCTATACAAAGAGAAAAGCCTGGAAGGACTAGGATGAACCCTCCTGTTTAGGGATCACCGTATCTCTGGGACTTTTAAAAAAATTTGAGGAACCTGATCCTAGGAGCAGGGACTATGAGAACAGTATGGCTACTGAAACTTCAGCCCATGCAATATTATTTGGCAGGAACTAACCAGGAGTTAAGCCGGCACTGATTATTATGACATCAAACATCATCAAAAAGCAAAACATGTATACTCTTCTTCATTGTGTAACCAGATGTCTGTGACATGCTCTGATGGCTTAATAGAAACAATTGCTTTTTTTAACTTTCCCCAGAATATAACATGGAGTGTTTTTCAAAATTCTTAAAATAGAGGGCTTAGGCTTTTTGTTTATAAATCCTTGGAAAAAAATTATACTCTACCCCAGCTTCTAACTAGCCCAAAATAAACCCAAAGGTTTTTGCTTTTGTGGTTAAGAAAGATTTATGTGTTTCTTTCAAATATCGAAATCAGTGGATACCTTAGACCCACAAACTACCCTCACCCTCCCAATTCAACACCCACTTCTGGGAAGGGAAAAGAAGGTGAAGAGGGTGGAAGAGAGGCAACTACAAAAACCTCCACAACTGACCCAAATCCCCAGGCCCTTGGTGGCTTTGTTTAGCGAAATCTCTAGTCAAATAATAGCAGCCAAGGCACAGCTGGCACCATCCTCAGCAGGCTTCAAAGAGGCCTTTCTATTTCTGCAGGAGGCCCAGGAATTCAGCACACAAGGTCTTAGCTGTATGCTTGGGCAAAAGGCAGACCCACAATTACTATGGACTGCTGTGGTCGAGGTGATGAGCAGAGGCCTCAAAGATGAGATGTGTTTACCACTCTGTAACCATGAAGGGACACACATCTGCCAGTTCAGACCATAAACTCATTATTTCCAAAGAGAGTTAGCTGTTGGGTGGAGCTGCAGTCTGGGTCCACAGTTTTCCTATGACCAGACACAACTGTTCCCTCTGGGATCTCTTTGGTTTTCTGAGGTGAATTTTTCACATTCTTTAGTTTTTGTTTGCCCTTTTCAGGGTTGAAGGTTCCTCTGCTGATGAACTGAGGCCTGTCTTCCGGGGATTTGGTCTGGCCCAATTGCCCTTCCATTCCTGGGGCTTCACCAGCTGAGGCAGCTCGGTAGAATGGAGATTTGGAATAAATTTGAAATCGTTTCCTGGTCCCATGAGAAGAAGCAATGTTAGACGCACACAATGAAGAACCTGAAGAGTCCACTGAATCCAAAGAGTTTTGCTGCTTTTTTAGCTGCTTTCGTAACTTGCTTGAAGGTTCAGATTTGCCAACTGCCTTCAGGGAGCAAAGGGCTAAGCTTCTTTCTAATAGAAAAAGAGATACCAAGCTGTAAATGACAGTTTCCTCTACAGAAAATCATTGTATAATAAACAGATGTCACTGCTGAGACATGAGATTGGGTGGGCTAAGATTTGAGGGTCCTGGCTGGCCTACTTTGTGCACATTCCTAACACAAGAAGAGCTCACCATTTATTTCTATATATATATATATATATCGCTTCAGAATCAAGTCGAAGAAACTCTGGTGTTTTAACCATTAGGAGAGAGCTACAACTGCCACTGTCTTTTAACAAACTGCCAGCAAATGCAGTATGATTTCGGTCTCCCTGAGACATGCCAGGTAGGAAAATGCCTCTCTCAGTACTTTCCCATCTCCCAGTAGGGTACAACTCCTTTTACCCATCCTTAGACAATGGGTCATGGGTCAGTAAGACAACACGAGTTGTGGTTATTGGCTTTTCTCTGTGATAAATACAAGAGGAAACATTAAATTACCCAAAACTGCATTAGAGTAAAGGCTTGATCTGATCAACAATTCATTTGGAAGTTTCGCAAAGTGTATTTTAACTCCTTAAGACTTTGTCACTTTTTCATGTATACAGTGTTCTATAAAGGGTCTTTATCTTAGCATGGAACTGCAGTCTTCAGTTTAATATGTTCACTTACCTGATTTCTCAGAGATGGTACTTTCAGATTCAATATTCAAATTTTCTGAGCTATCTGCAGTCCCAATGGAGGCCTCTGACTCAAGAGTTTCATCATCAGAGGCACGAGGTTCTAGTACAAGCATCTCAAATGTTAACTCCTCCCTGTAAGATACAATCAAGAAATCTATTAGGATTTGGTTAAGAACTGAAAGCAAGATGACAGGAAATAAAGACCTTTCATAAAAGGCAGGAATTTAAGTAGCAAAGACAGTCACATTTCTTTTTTTTTTTTTTTTTTTTAACGTTTCTTACTATTTCCCCCATCCAGGGTGATGATAAGGACCTGTAAGTCACAGTAATGGTGAAGGCTAAAACTTTATGGACTAAAGGGCAAAATGACAGACAGCAAAGGCTAGGAACTATAACAGGAATATGGGTAAGGTGAGGAAGATGCTGTAGCTATAAGATGCTGGCCCCATGGCTATATTGATCTTCAAATAATAACCTTCTGAATAATGTCCATTATTGAAAGGGACATTGTCTTAGTCTGGGCATCCTTATTCCTCTTTTAAGACAGTTATCTTCATTGAGGCCAGTCTCTAACCTGTTAGGAATCCCAACTAATGCTAACCTCAGTCCCAGTCAGTCTTTCCAGAATTGTCACTATAGCAGTTAGAGGTCTCCTACCTCACAGAATTCCTTCCCTAAGCCAAATCTTAACACTGAATAGAGGCAATATGTCTCTGTCATCTCTAAATTCTAGCACCGTATATTCTAGCACTGTATATTCTAGCATCTGACATAGTGCTTCACACACAGGTGATTATCTCATAAACAAGGAAAAATAGAGCACAGAAATAAAGGAAAACAGAATTGGTCACCCCCTTTCCACTGGGAAACTTACTTTTCTTTCTGTAGGTTCTCAATCTGCTCAGTCAGTACTCTTTCCTCCTGCTGCATGGATGCTTGTTGCTGTTCTGTGATGTCAGTCTCCATGGCTGCCCCACTTGGCAAGCTCTCTTCTGGTACATCAGACATAGAAGGCAACCGAACTACAACAGGAGATGATGGACTTGGATAGTTTCCTTGACGGAGACGTCCCTTTCCCTGCAAAGAAAAATATGGTAGAAAGTAAACTGAATGCCTGAAATCAGTTTTATGTGGACCAATTAGGACAACAAGTAAAATTCCATCACACCAGTTGGATGGTTGAAATAGAAACATTCTACTAATGAGAATGTTTAGGATACTTAGACACTATCCACTGCATATAGTTAGGCATAGTAGTTCTTGTAAGAGTACTGAAAAATAGGTATTTCAGGACATGTGAATGTAAGAACACAATCTGCACTGAGACCAGGTTGTTCTTTTAATCTAAAATGCATCCATTCCAAACTAAATAGTGTTGGATATTTAAGTTAATTAAAATTAAATAAAAGTAAACATCTTGTTCTGTATTTACACTGACACTTTTCAAAAGCTTAATAGCCACAGGCGTCTATTGGATACCATACTGAACTATGTAGGCACAGAGCATATCCAACAATATTGCTCTAAAACTTAATCTTCAACACCAAAGTTCCCTAGAAAACCACTAGAAAGTTTAGTTTTTAAAAAAATGTCATGTGTCATAGAGTGTTAGTGAGAGATACTTTCTGAAAACAACTCAAGAAATTTCTTTCTTGCTATCACGGGGGGAAATCTCACTGTTTTTAAATTGGTTACCTACCACCTTGTACATGATTTTAGCTTCTATTACTGGCAGACTAGCTATTTTAGATTGAATATCCTGCTGCGAACAACTGACCAAACATAGAAAAAAAAAAAAAAAAACAAACAAAAAATCAACATATCTTGATGACACTAGAGAACCAATAAGGAAAGGCTAGCCTAGAATTTTAAGCTAATCAAAACTTCAGCAGTAAACCTGATTTGCTCTTTGGGCCAAATCTGGCCCTGTGCTTGATTTTATAAATAAAGTTTTACTGGGATACAATCATGTTCATTAATTCATGCATTGTCTATGACTCTTTCACAGAACAATGTCAAAGCTGACTGTTGCCACAGAAATTGTATGGGCCCACAAAACCAACTTACTTTTTGGACTCTTACAGAAAAGGTTTGTCAACCCTTGAGGTAGATAATGTAAGCTGGGGTTCAGAACCATGCAAGTGTGCTACCTGGTAAATTCTCCATGCCTGATGCTGGAATTCCTAAGATTTGCATGCTGGACATAGGGTAAAACTAAAATTATGATAGTCCATGTAGACACTGTAGGCTTGCTTCGAGTCATCTGAATGGTGCAGGAAATCATAATCCCCGCAACTGTATTGAAGTAATCTTAGATTACTGTAATCCAGTGCCCTAGAGTCGTAGGGTCTGGCAGAAAAACCAAAACACTAGTTGTATAAAAGTAACATCTTAGACTGCAAAATAATTTTATAAATAATTTTCAAAAACTTTATCAGACATACAAAGGTAACCAAGCACAAAAGGAGACAAGACAATGTAAATGAAAACCAGTAAAAACAGCAGAGAACAGGACACCTCAGTGACTCCAGATAGTGTAGCTCTCAAACAGACTTTAAAACAACCATGGTGAAGGAGATAGGAGAAACAGTGAATCAGCGGCCTGGAAGTGAGATCAGAAGAAAATATCCAGTAGTAAAAGTAGGGTGAAAATTTTTTTCCTAGAAAAATTCTTGAAAAGTAGGAAAAAGAAAAGACACGATAAAAAGATCTTCTATCATATGTTTAAAAAGAATACCAGGATAGCACAGCAATCCTATAGAAGAAATATTTGTGAGACAAACAGAGAATATGTTTAAAAACCAACTAAAGATATCAACCTGATTGAAGAAAGCCTTCACTAAGAAACATAAATAGAAAGAAGTCCATACACATACAACTGCTAAAAAGACAAGATGAAATCTTAGAAGCTATGAGAAAAAAAATACCTGCAAAAAAGGACAACTATTAGGTTCAAAGCTCATATTTCAAAAAGAAGCAATTGTAGAGCTCTGCCAAAAATTCATTTTTCAAGAAAGCAATACATAGTGTTTTCAAGTGATGAAAGGAAAAGGAAAAAGTCAATCTAGATTCTATACAGAGCAAAAAACAAACTTCAAAGAAGTTGAAATAAAGACATTTTCAGACAGAGAATCCATTACCATTAGACTTAAAAAAAAAAAAATTAAAGGGCAGATAGAAAATGACCTAAGAAGAAAAATTAGGGAAGCAGAAATAAAAAGAGTGTAAAAAAGTCAGTATCATTAAGTTTAAATGAATGTTAACTGCGTAATGAATCATGTTTAGATATAAAATATACAGATAAAAAATATAGTATCAATAGCAACAAGGTCATATAACAGCTAAAGTATATTAAAGTACTGGATTATAAGGGAAGAAAAAGGCACCAATAAACACACATTGATAGCTCACGCCAAAAGGAGTTAACTACTAAAAAAAGAGTAACAGTGAAAAGATTAAGAGAAGTAAAGTGGAATAATACAAAGTAGTCAAAAGGAAAAGGCAAAAAGAACAAAAGTGGCAAGAAAGCAAAAAGGAAGACATATCTGGCAGGGAAAAAACATAATAATATATATATATTAAATAAAATATATATATATATATTTAAATCCAAATATACTGTGATTATGTTAAATATAAATAGATTAAATACTCTAAAATCTGAAGACTGACAGACTATATTAAAAACAACAACAAAAAAAACCACCTAAGAGATATCACCAAGATGGTGACAAAGGAGGTTCCTTGCTTTGCTCCTGAGAAGAACATTTAATAGTAAATCAGAAGAACACTATATCCAGAGAATCTTGTGTCTTGGAATAAAATTGGAACAGCCCCTGGACATAAGATACCAACACAAACTACATAAAGGAGAATCACCCTTTGTTGCACAGGAAGTAGGTGGAGAGAAACTCCTAGAGGCCATAGTTAAAATGGGGACACAGATGGTGAGATTGCCAAGGGGTAGGGCTGCCAAGGGCCACTCAGCCAGGGGTCCTGTGGAAGGGAGAACAAAATGGTGTGGAGGATCACACCCTTGAAGAATAGGAAACATGTGGAGAAGCTGGGGTACTGCAGTAGGGAGAACAGAAACGGTGCTCTGGATTACACACAACCTCCCCTCTGGGTTGGTATTGAGCTTGAAAAGTACATTGAGAGCACAGAGACTGCAGAGTCTTAGATCAAGAACCCCCTAAAGGAGGGACACTGGCAATGACAGGCCATCTCCCACCACCAGCACTTTCTCACTAGTGCCTGGACCCCTGCAAAGCTCTCTCCACCCTCTTGACTCTACAGTTGCACAAACAGGTCTCAGTACTTATGAAAATCAGCAAAGGCGAAGGAAATCAAATCAAATTGAAACACAGCGCCACCTGCAGCACACAAGTAAAAGTAGATCAACTGTACTGCTAATAACAGGTACTTTTTTAAAATACAGAAATTTTTTTTTAAAGATTTATTTATTTTTATACAAGAACCGGGGTACAGGGAAGATGCACGTGCAGGTGAGAGGATTCACTGGAGACAGAGTGGGGAGCAGAACAGGTAGAATGAAGAAATACACTGCTGAGGGGAGCAGCGGGTGAGACAGGACAGGTCGGCTTGGCCATCTGGGATTCTTGCTGGCCAGCCGGGATCCAACCCGCACTGCAGAGGCTGCAGACAGCTCCACAGGGTGGCGCTCAATGTCTGCGGCACGAGGGAGGCCCATTAAAATAGGGAAATTTAAAGCAGCAAAATGGCAGAGAAAAATGTTAACATCTTGAGACAGACCCCAAGGGAATAAGATTTCACATGAACAACTCTCCTAAATCTGATCACAAAGTCATGGAAGATTTTTCTCTATCAGAGTTCAAAATTGCTGTAATAAGGAAAATCTATACACAAGCATCCTTTGCATTCTGATACACGATGAGCTAGAAGAGAAGGAAGTCAAGAAAACAATCCATGTAAAATTAGATCAGGAATTAAATACCTAGGAATACACTTAACAAAGGAGGTGGAAGATCTATACATCAAAAATTACAAGAGAGAAGCCACAAAGAGATGAAAAGATATTACCTGTCACAGACTGGAAGATTTAACATCGTTGTTAAAACAGCGATTTTAACCAAAGCAATATACAGATTCCATACAATCCCTATCAAAGTTTCTATGGCATTCCTCAAAGAAATAGAACAAGTGTGACTGAAATTCATATAGAACCACACACACACGCATACACACACAAAAATCAAAATAATCTTAATAATAAAGGGAGAAAAACTGAGGTATCACACTCCCCAAGTACAAAGTTATAGTAATCAAAATATGGTAGTGGAATAAGAGTAGACACAGAGCAATGGCATAGAACTGAGAGCACACAAATAAATCCATATGTATGGATAGTTAATTTATGATGATGGAGCCAAGAGCACACAATAGAGAAAGTCTCTTCAACCAACGGTGTTGGGAAAACTATAGAGCCACGTGTGAAAGAATGAAACGAGACCACTGTTTAACACCATACACAAAGTTAACTCAAAATGGATTAAAGATTTGGATGTAAGACCTGAATCCATAAAATATAAAGAATAAAAAACAGACAAAACAGGCTGAGACACTGGAATTAGAGATGTCTTTGGGAACTAGACTATAATGGCAAGGAAACAAAAGAAAAAATAAACAGGTTTACATCAAACTAAAAAGCTTTACAGTAAGAGAAACTATCCCTAAAACAAAAAAACACCCTACTGAATGGGAGAAAATATTTGCATACCATATATCTGACAAGGAATTGATATCAAAGATCTACAAATTAATTCATACAATTCAAAAAAATGAAAATAAATCAATAAAAAAGTGCAGAAGAGCTAAATAGGCATTTCTCCAAAGAAGACATACAGATGGCCAATAGGCACATGAAAAAAATGTTCATCATCTCTTAGTATTGAAGAAGTCCAAATCAAAACAACAAGGTATCACCTCAACCCTCACTTAATGCCAGGGAAATAGAAATTAAAACCACAATTAGACACCATCTCAGACTTGTGAGAAAGGACTATATCAAAAAGACCAGCAACAGCAAGAGTTGTGAG